GGGCGGGGCGGGGCGGGGCCTGGGCTGGTGGCACCGTGTCAGTTACGGGGAAACAAAGTGGAGCGGCGCTGCCGGGCCAGCCTCCCCAGCCCGCCCGCCGCCGTCTTGTCGCGGACATGGAGCCCGTGGCCAGCAACATCCAGGTCCTGCTGCAGGCGGCGGAGTTCCTGGAGCGGCGCGAGAGAGGTGAGGGCGGCCCCCGCGCCGCCGGGACGGAGTAAGGTCGCGGGCAGCCGCGCGCCGCCGCCCGCACGCCCACAGGGGTTCGCGGGCGGCAGGGCGAGGAGTGGATGGGGAAAGCGTCCTGGCGCCAAAAGCCTTTCTTGACCGGGCCGTGCCACGGGCTCCGGCTGACGGGCTGGCTTCTCTCTCCGGCAGAGGCGGAGCACGGCTACGCGTCCCTGTGTCCGCACCTCAGTCCCCGGGTCGTCTGCGGGAGGAGGAGGCGACCCCTGCCTGCTCCTGACGCGCTAAACAGTGGGCGGTGAGCGGGGATGGGGCAGCGTGGGGAGGGATGCTGGTCCTCAGCTGGTCCATCTTAGCCCTGTCTCTCTTCCTTGTTTAGTACATGCGTGTGTTATATGCGTGTGTATACATATATATGCACACATACGAAATATGTATGTGTATACAACATATAGACACACCCACACATAGATGCACAGTGCGTGTGTATCCATTGTGTCAGGACAAGACAGAGTCCTCCTCCCACTCCTGAACTCGCCTCACAGAATTCTGCCTTTCTGCCTTCTGCTTACGCTCTTCCTTTTAAGTGTTTCCCCTGCTGCTGACTTCCCCGGCAGGCTTGTTTTTTGACCGAGTGTCACATCTGTCCAGATGTCTCGCCTGGCTGTCCGGGGAGACCCCACGACTGGGCTACACTAGTGTGGGTGTCCTACACTAGCCCAGGTTCTCACGGGAGGCTTCCTTGGCACAGCCATCTGTAGGGGTCTTGAGCTAACAGAAACCTGGAGCTGAGGACCTGGCGGTCCCCACTGCCCCTCACTTCATCCCCTTGGCATTGGCAGGTCTGTGCACAACGAGCTGGAGAAGCGCAGGTGAGTCCCCGGCAGGCTGACCGCACCAGGTCCCCGGGACCAGCTCTTCCACCCTTGCTGTCCCTCTGGCTGGCTCGGAGGAGCTGGTACTGCCCTGCGGCCCCCTTCCTCTGCAGGAGGGCCCAGCTGAAGCGGTGCCTGGAGCAGCTGCGGCAGCAGATGCCCCTGGGGGCGGACTGCACCAGGTTCACCACGCTGAGCCTGCTGCGCCGGGCCAGGATGCACATTCAGGTAAGATGCTGTGTCCCCGGTGGGTGCGCCTGCCTGGAGTGTGGGGACCACTCTCCTCCGGCCTGACCTGAGAATCCTCTGTGCTCTTCGTCCATCACGTGGGAAGAAGAGCAGGCAGCAGGGCTGTTCTGAGGCCTTTTCAATGTTCCTTTTGTTACGGCTTCCCTGTTTGGCTGTTGAGAATACTGTTATAAACCATGTGATCTGGTGGACTGTGGACTGGTACCTGCCCTCTACTCTCATCCTTCAGAGCTTTCTAGGTAGGAGACAGCTGGAGGCCAGGGACAGACTTGAACTACTAGCTGACTCAGCTTGGCCTTGCTGCTGCTTGGGTGGAATTGCACGACCCCTGGTGGACAGGAGTGGATATGCAGGTGCCAAGGCCCAGGCTGTGCCAGCTATGTGGGCATGTTAGCTGCCTTGGAAACAAGAGGATCTTTCCTGCCTCCCAGGCCCATTTGATGGAAGGAAACATGTCCAGTCAGCCTGAAGGCAGAGCAGATGAGAGGCAGATTCAAGGTTGATAATGCCTGTCCGGCTCTTCAACAAACATCTATTGAGCCCGTTTCTGTCGGGCTCTATCGAGGGCCACAGCACAGCCTGTGTCATTGGCATTCAGCAGATAAAATGGCTGTGGAACATATTTGCACTGTCACATAGGTACCTGCTGTCACTTCCGTCGTCCTGGCTGTCATGTAGCCTTTGGTCTCTCCTGCAGAGTTCATCTGACCTCATTTTTCAGGTAGATGAAATGTGCTACCTCAAGGGCAAGGCCTGGGCATCAGCCCTTTCCTGGGCTTCCCTTCTACCAAGCTGCCTTCGCTCAGAGTGTCCATCTCCAGCTGGGATCCCTGACAGGACACAGCCTCACTTCCTGCTTCCTGTGACACCCAAGCCTCTCTCTCCCTAATACAGGCCTTGCTTCTTAGGCTTCAGAGTCCCTTGACAGTTTTTTAGGCTTCTCTCTCTGCCTATCATAAACAAAGATGGACACTGAAAGCTTCTGGGGTCCCCCTACCTTGATGGGCTTCCATCCTTCCATTCCTTGTCTCGAGTGTTGTGGCTTTTTCTCCCCTTGTTTAAAAAAACAAAAATGAAAAATTTTTTGAAGATTTATTTATTATTTGTACAACATTCTGCCTGTACACCAGATCTTACTATAGACAGTTATGAGCCACCTAGTGTTTGCTGGGAATTGAACTCAGGATGTTTGGAAGAACAGTGAGTGTTCTTAACTTCTAAGCCATCTCTCCAGCTCCCACAATTCTTGTTGGTTGTGGTTGGAGAGGCACTTCCACGCACAAGCTGCATCCCCGCTACTGTGTCTTGCTTGTTGAGTGTGCCGATGCGGTGAGCTGGTGGCCTCTTGGTCTATAGACCAACTTAAATTAGTCAGCAGCACTTCAAAGCACACCTGGTGTGGAAATCTGGCTTTCCGAGATCTAAAGAAACGGAGACGGGACGCTGCTTGGTCTGCGCCCATGGGTAGCCATGGGCAGGAACCTAGGTGTGGCTACACCCTTTGGCCAGTTTTGCCTGGCAGGATGCCACCCCCAAGCTCGTACTGACATATCATGTGGCCAGGCCCTAGAGGCATTCGTGACTGGGGTGCCCGGAGTGGCCACAGAAAGGCCAGGTCCTGGCAGCTGACCCAGTCTCTGCCCCTCTGGGTTCTGCAGAAGCTGGAGGAGCAGGAGCAGCAGGCCCAGCGGCTCAAGGAGAAGCTTCGAAGCAAACAGCAGAGCCTTCAGCAGCAGCTGGAGCAGCTCCAGGGGCTGCCAGGAGCTGGAGGGAGGGACAGGCTGCGAGCTGACAGCCTGGACTCTTCTGGTCTGTCCTCTGAGCGCTCGGACTCAGACCAAGGTGAGTGCCCTGGGGGGGGGGGGGGCGGGCTGGGCTGATGGGCAGCTGGGCTCTTGACTGGCTCCCCCCTGCAGAGGATGTGGAGGTGGACGTGGAGAGCCTGGTGTTCGGGACTGAATCAGAGCTGCTGCAGAGCTTCAGCGCTGGCCGGGAACACAGCTACTCACACAGTGCAGGCAGCTGGCTCTGATGCCACTGCTCTCTCTGGACTAAGTCTGCCAGGCAGTGGCCCACACAAGTCCTGAGGTCTGTGCAGCCTGCTGGAAGAGACTCTCACTTACAGAGCCTTGTGTGAGAGCAGGACGCTGCCGGCTGGCTGCCCCCCCCCCCCCCCCCGGCATCGGATGCAGCGCTTGGCCCTACTTTGCTGCCCCCCAAAGGACAGGAAGCCTGTAGACCGATTGTTCCTGGGCAGAGCCCCAGGCCTCTGCCCCACGTACACCGCACAGTATTTTCATTAAAAACCCTCTTTTGTAAGCGCTTGTCTAGGGTCTTGCTTGAGGAGATGGGGGAAGTCCTAGCAACAACTGGGAAAGAGGAAGTAAGATCAGCAGTTGCCAAAGAGTCCCTGCTAGGCAGGGAGAGCACACCTGATAGGGGTAGAGGCTGAGGAGGGCGACTCGCCTGAGGTCCAGATCCCAAGCAAAGCTGACTCGAGGACTGGGGCCAATCAAATCATGTTTATTGAGTGCCTGTTATGTGCTGAATATTGTTCCGGGTCCCTGGGACACAGCAGAGAATAAAACAAGGAGCCCTGCCCCTGTGGAGCGCAGGGTGTCACGCATCACCACGCCGCCTGCTTGGGACCTTGGGCAGGTGACCGCAGCCCTCCGCCCGCCGGGCGGGGCCGGGTGCCCTGCAGATGCTGCTGTGGCCAGGCTCCTGCCCCCCCACCCAGACAGCACAGAGGGCTGCAGGTCCATCTTTAATACTCGGGTTCGGAGGAAGGGAGCGGGAGCGGGCTATGCGAGCTGCTGCTGCTGCTGCTTGGTGGCGGCCTTGCTGGCCAGGTCCTTGGCCTTCTCGGTAGCTGCCAGTGCTGTCTCCTTTGCCTTCTCTTTGGCCTCTTTGGCTGTCTCAACAAGCGTTTTGGAAGGGGCCTCACCTGTGACAACGACAGGAAGGTGGTCTCAGATGGTGCCTAGAAGGCCCACCAGCCCCTGCTGAACCTCAGCGGGCAGGCTTCTGAGGGATGCAGTTATTGTTCTGTTTCCACCCTCCCAGGCACACACAAGAGTCTCAGGCTCAGATCAGGACGGCCAGCCACTGGGAGTGAGGGTCCCCTGATCCCCCACGCCTCGTCCACGGCTCTCACCTTGTAGCTTGGCCAAGATGTACTCAAAGCCCTTCATTGTCTTGGTCACATTGCTTTTGAACCGGGCAAGACCAAATTCCTGGCAGGAGAGGGAAAAGGATGGGAAGCTGCTCAATGACCCGGAGCCCAGCCCAGCTCCAAAGCCTCTTACCTGGACAGCTCTGGAGACGCCAAACAGGCTAGAGGAGACCCAGGCTTCCCGGCGGATTTCGGTCCAGCCACTGTTGTCGGCGTTCACACGGTAAACACACCGCTCCTCCACCACCTGCTCGGGAAGCCAGGCCGAGAGTGGCTTTTGCTCTGCTCCCTCCACACCCAGACCCTCCCTCTACTCTGCTGCCCACGCTGATGGTGCCACAGCCCTGCACTCAGCACTGGGCCAGTCTGTGCTCCCCACAAGAGGGAGGCAGTGAAGGCAAAGGTCTTCCTGTTATGTAACCCCAGGCCCAGAGAAGCTGTCCTGACCCTACAACCTCTCTGCTGACCCTTGAAAGCGCACAGTCTCTTGGGATGAGCTGGCATTTCAACCTGGTCCTGGGCTTCACCTGGGGCCTCTGGACCTCGACACACGAAGCGTTTGCCTCCTGATATCCACCCCCCCACACACACACCGTCTGATGTTAATCACAGCTTTTGTTATGAGAGTGTATGGCAAAGAACACGGAGACAGCAGTCACAAACACAGCACTGTGTTGGTTATCTACCAAGCAGAACCCTCAGGTTCTGTGCTGGGCAGGAAAGGGCCCACTCACCTGTGACAGCCAGGGACACACCTTTTGAACCTTACTTTTGAATTTGTTTTTTATGCGCATTGGTGTTCTGACTGCATGTCAGTCTGTGTGAGGGTGTCAGTTCCCCTGGAACAGGAGTTACCGACAGCTGTGAGCTGCCACGTGAGTGATGGGAATTGAACCTGGGTCCTCTGGAAGAGCAGCAAGTGCTCTTAATTGCTGAGACATCTCTCCAGCCCTACTTTTCTTTTTGAAATGCAAAATTTCCATCTCTCAGGTTACAGAAGCTGAGAAAAAGTCTTCTAGAAACTCGCAGGGTATCCCCAAACATGGTTTCCAAGCCTTCCAAAGGACCCAAGGTCCATATAATTTGTTTCCCCAAATCTCATTCAGAAGCTGACGTTCATTCCAGGCAGCTCTCAAAGTCCCTGCCCCCATCTCCCCAGCATCATTCCTGAAAGACCATCCGAAATGGAGATGTCACATCCTTGTAAATAAGCTTTGAAGAAAGGTGCCACTGAGTGCGAAGGCAGCCCCAGAGAGGGTGACCAAGGGAAAAGGAGACAATCCGAGGCCAGAACTCTGCAGGCGCTGAGCACTCTAGACCTGCCCCAGGCCACAGAGGTCCCCACTACTCTCTTGCCTGAGATCGGAAGGGCAACTATTTGGAGGGCCCGAAGGCGGTCTTACCATCAGCCGGGCGTGGTTGATGTTCCAGGTGAAGGTGGTCATGGTCTGATTCTGTGGGTCCACAACAGAGTCCTCCAGGATGTACACCGAGTGAGCGACGTTGGCAGGAAACAGTCGCTCTGCCCACCGTGGCATCCTGTTGGTCTTGGTCAGGAGTCTCCTGGACAGAAGCTTCTGGTCAGGGGTCACCTCCCGGTGCACAATGTCTTCGGTTAAGACATGTTTGCTGCAGGTGTTAAAATAGAGATGATCCTCAGAAGTCTGCTCCTGACAAAAGGTCTGCAGGTTCCCACTGAAGGTTCCCACTGAAGGTTCTCTTCAGGTCACAGCGCTGTACCTGGGATCAGTATTCGAGTCCACTGAACCCATCCCGGGCAAATTCCACCTCCCTCCTCCCTGACCTGGATTCTGCGGCTTTCCAGTGGAGCAGGATCTCAGGATTGTACCGCTAGAGAGCGCCCCGGGCAGGTGAGCAGGCCGCCGCCAGGATTCCCAGCCCGGCTGCCGCCTCTTCCTGCCTCAGCACCTTGGGACCGCAAACAGCAATCTGGAGCCTGAGTAAAGCACAATCCAGACGGCCTCCCCGGCGTGCCTGGCAGGCCTGGCCTGCTCCTGGTCCTGCTAAGGTCTGTGTCCTAACTGTGGCCACAATTCCGGGGACACCCCACGCCGGAGTCGCTGTCCAGTCCTTCGTGGCCTCCCTGCTCAAGGGCAGCCTGGACTCCGAGCTCCACACGGATAGGAGGGCGACTCGCTCTACCCACCGCCACGTACCTATAGGGATTCGGGTACCGTTGCCAGAAGGCAGTGAACACTTGGTCCCAGGAACTTCGGAGCACGCTCTGGCCCAGGAAATACTTCACCATCGTCCCGACCCGGGCGGGCTCAGCACCCGTGCAGCATCAGGGTGAAGAGCCCGGGGGTGGGGGGCATGTGGCTCGGCGCACGCCCGCCAGGCTCGCAGCTCAGTCACCACCGCGCCGCGCCCAGCTCCCCACCGCCGCCATGAGCGGCTCCGGGACTGCGCGACGCTTCCGGCGCCGGCCGCGCAGGCTGGGCCACTTCCGGCGCCCGCGACACGTGACCGGGCGTCCCGCCTCCTCTGGTCCAGTCCCGGAGGAGCAGGTTGGACTTAGCCTCAGGGACCCCGGTTTCAGTGCTGGATAGCCCCGGCGCAGCGGAGCCTCTGTCGCAGCGGCGGTCGCGCCGGTGAGCCGCGCAGGGCCGGGCGGCGCGGTGGGCAGCGCTGTCCGCGTCCCCGCGCCGCGGCTGTGCCAGGGACGGAGCGCCGCGGGCTGAGGCGCCGGGGGCCTGCGAGGTGCGAGGCGCTTGGGCTTGGGGGGGGGGGTCTGAGGCTTGGGCCCTGCGTGGGCCGCGTGGACACTGACGTGGGTGAGGCGGCCCCGGGAGCATGAGCGGGCATCGCGTGGACGTCAAGGTGGTTATGCTGGGCAAGGAATACGTGGGCAAGACGAGCCTGGTGGAGCGATACGTGCACGACCGCTTCTTGGTGGGGCCCTATCAGAACGTGAGTGCACCCCTGCGGACCAGGCCCGGGAGGAAGGGGGCCGGCCTGCGTTCGACTCTTATCTCTTCCCTGCTTGTAGACCATCGGGGCTGCCTTCGTGGCCAAGGTGATGTGCGTTGGAGACCGGACGGTGACTCTGGGTATTTGGGTATGTCTCTTGGGAATAGCCTTGAGCAAACCTATCCCCGAGGTTTGATGTCTTGCCGCTTAAACTAGCCAACTGGAGCCTCATCGAGGTCGTTTCCCCCCTCACATTCACTTTCTCATGGGGATACGGAAGATGGGGGCCCCGTTTGTAATCTTGTGGAGGAGCTCATTAACTCCTTTCACCCCGCAGGACACAGCAGGGTCCGAGCGCTATGAAGCCATGAGCAGAATCTATTACCGGGGTGCCAAAGCTGCGATCGTCTGCTACGGTAAGGGGCTGGATTCTGACCTGTTCAAGTAAGGGCTGGGCTGCTGTCGGCGTCAGAGAGAAGCCCCCGATCCCTGATTCTGTCTCCTGTCTGACCCCTACCAAGACCTCACTGACAGCAGCAGCTTTGAGAGAGCCAAGTTCTGGGTGAAGGAGCTGCGCAGTTTAGAAGAGGTAGGTGGCCAGATGGTACAAGATCAAGGTGACGACGACTGTTGGTCCCTGGAGATGATCTCAGCCTTGTCTTCTGCTCCAGGGCTGTCAAATCTACCTGTGTGGCACCAAGAGTGACCTGCTGGAGGAAGACAGGCGGCGCCGTCGTGTAGACTTCCACGATGTCCAGGACTATGCAGATAGTAGCTGTTCTTAAGTCCCTGAGGGTGGGAGGTAGGGGTGGACAACATCTTGTTGAGTGGATTACAGGGACAGGGGACCCACAACCTTAGGTGCTTTCTGGCCTTGAGCCTGTGGGTCCAGGAGACAGAACTGTTAGCTGCACTTAGGTCTGATCCCCAGGTATGAAAAGTAATCACTTCTCTTTCAGATATCAAAGCCCAGCTTTTCGAAACATCCAGCAAGACAGGCCAGAGTGTGGGTGAGTGTTGTCCTGGGGCCTGTTGGGAAGGTTCAGAGGCTGGGCACTGGGAGACCCAGGGCTGCTGGCCCCAGGCCCTCACTGATGCTTTGCTTGACAGACGAGCTCTTCCAGAAAGTGGCAGAGGATTACGTCAGCGTGGCTGCTTTCCAGGTGATGACAGGTGTGTGCTTCCCCCATTAAGATCTCTGGGCTGTGGTCTCCGGCCTGTTGGTGACCTACTTGATCACGTAATGGTGCTGAGCAACCACCTCTCTTCTTGACAGAGGACAAAGGTGTGGATCTGGGCCAGAAGGCAAACCCTTACTTCTACAGCTGTTGTCATCACTGAGTCTCGGCTCATCTGGCCTGGGAGAACTAAGTGAACTCCCCAGAGGGGCTGGATCCAACTCTTGACCGGGCTGGAGTGGTCAAGTGTCTGAGCTACTCCAGGTGCCCACTGCGGCAGAGGTGGTACCTGCCTGTGCTGGCCCATGGGACAGAGGCAGTATTGGGCTGACTGGGCATGAGGAGGGATAAAGGGCTGATTTGAATCCCAGGCTTCTGTCCTGGCCAGAACTTCTGTCCAGAATATTTAAGTAGCTTCTGAACTGTAAATAAAATTGATGCACTGTGACTCACAGCCCCTTCCCTGCTGTGTGCCATAGCTTGCCTCACTTCCTATATTAACTCTTCCCATTTGGGAACCAAGTACCTGCTTCCTAAGGTTGTCATTGAAACCATGGAGAGACAATGGGTTCTGCCCCTTTTTTTGTGTCGTCCTATGTCTATATGAATGTAGGTTAAACCCCAGGGCTTCTAATATACTAGGTAAGAACTGTACCACTGCATAATACCGTGGCTACTTTTTTTCTTTTGTGGGGGTTGGAGATAAGGTAAGGCTAGGAAGTTGTACAAGAAGTACCTAAGCTGTGCTCAGAGATGAAAGGCACAGCCACAACACTCTCAAGACGAGTTTGTTTGGCCAGCTCTCCTTGTGCCATGCCTGGACTGTGGCTCAGGGCTGTGACTGTCTTAAGCTTCCCAGGGAACACCCTGTAATGTAAGTAACAAGAGGCAACCCATCGTCCTGCAAGTCAGAAAGGTCGCACCCATCCAGCTTAGCTGCTACCTAGAAGGGCTTGAAGCCAGCAGTGGTGGTGCACACCTTTAATCTCAGCACTTGGGAGGCAGATCTGAGTTCGAGGGCAGCCTGGACTACAAAGTGAGTTCCAGGGCTACACAGTGAACGCTGTCTTGAAAGAGTTCTTAAAGAGGGGATGTAGTCTGTGCCTTTAAAATTCAAGTACTCGGGAGGCAGTCTTCTAAGTTCCAGGCCACCAAAGCTACATAATGAGACCCTACCCCCAAAACCTAAGTAAATAGAAAAATGAAGCAACTGCTAACTTGTCCGGATTCAAAAACATTGGAAAGCTAGGTGGTAACATAACTAACTTCCTGTTTAAGCAAAAGGAAGTGTATTACAGCTCTTTCCAGTTACTGGTGTGGGGTGTGGCCCCAACCAGGGATATGTTCCCCGATGTGTTGGTTTCATTTCTCTTTAAAATGGTTCCTCAAAATACCCGAGTAGAAGAGTTTCCTGTGAACCCAGACACTCCGATCAAAAGGAAGGCTGTTTAGGCAGCCAGCAGAACCTGGGAGGAAACTCATCACTCTTCAGGTTGGCTCCTGCTCTTCCCCCACGCCAGGCAGTTGTTTTGTTGAGCTACATCTCCCCAGACACAATAAAAACACAGGGCAAGGGCCATAAGAGTAAAGTTAAACTTTACTTTACAGTATTTTTTCTATATACAAAGAATTACAGTACATGTTTATGGGGACTCCTAGCACAGGGTTCCCCTCTTTTTTCACTAGGATGTTCACTTCAGCTGACAGTCTGTTGGGGGTGAGAGAACACAGTGATGGACCTTGGTTGAACCCTTTTCCCCGTTTAAAAAATAGAGCTTTCTTTGTTAAGACCTAGAAAGCTGCTTTCCATGAGCTCCTAGGTGCTGACTCACCCGACCCCACTCACCTACACACACAAGGCGGCACCACAGCCTGGAGACCACCCGCTCTGCCCACCCTGGAAACACCGGGGCCCTCAGTGTCCGCTCTGCCCACCCTGGAGACACCAGGGCCCTCAGTGTCCGCTCTGCCCACCCTGGAAACACCAGGGCCCTCAGTGTCCGCTCTGCCCCTTCTGTCTGCCTCTGCTGAGCTGTGCCAAGCTCCCAGTAGCTACTCCCAGAGGCCCTCCTCACTGACTGATGTTCTTAAAGTCAGGAAGGCTCTACAGGGAAAGGACCACAAAAGAATTTTTGTTGTTCTTGTTTTTTGAGACAGGGTCTCTGTGTAGTCCTGGCTGTCCTAGACTCACTTTGCAGACCAGGCTGGCCTCAAACTCAAAAAGATCCATCTGCCTATGCCTCCTGAGTGCTGGGATTACAGGCTTGCACCACCGCCCAGCTCATAAAGTTTAATGGTCAGGAACCAGCTCTTTTGAGGTTGTAGTTGTCTACTAAGCTCTTCCAACTTAAGAAACATTGCCCTCATTCTTCCCGAGCAACTGAGATGCCACAGGAGGGCAGAGGTAGAGAAGCAGACGGCAGTGGTGACCCCACAACCAGTTCTCTTCTGACATGTCCTAGGCAGGACGGATGAAGACTACAGACCAGGTGGCCCTGACCCTAAGGAACTCAGTGGCCATCATCTGGGTCTGTATCGAACCACTCCAGGGTTGGGTGGGCAACCATCATAGACACTACCTGCCGCCCACCTCTCACAGAGCTGAAAGGAAACTATATAAATTATCTCCCCAAACAGGAACCTGGGTTTCTCATGTCACCACTTCCTCAACCCTTGGCAGTGCTTATTTATCCCATGAGATTAGCACCATCTTTACATTGTTTTGTGTACAAAGCAATTATTTGTGTTTCAGTTTACACTATAGCAACTTCTGCACTGACTTGGAAGCTCAACTGAGAGCAAACTGATGACAGCCAATCGAGTTCCTATAGTAGCTACCTAGGTCTAAATGACTCGGGGTAATTAACAATGAGTAATTTTAAGAGCAGGAAATTACTGCTGCTGCTCCAATGAGGTGAGGACATTGGGCCTCTTCTCATCCAAAGACAAGCCCCAAGAGGATAACAATATCCTTTTGGAGCCAGGGACAAAGCCCATCAAATTGAATGTTCTCCTCATTGCCCTGCATGGACAACCTAGACACCGTCCTGGCAGTTCTGGAACACTGGAATACAACCTGGAAGCGCAGCTCCAGTGACCTTACCGCACAGAGCCAAAGACTCAGTGCTGTACTTCAAGCCCAGACTGTAGTGTGGGGTGGAGGATATGAATGTCAAAGATGCAGAATGGTAAAAACAAAAACCAAAAAGCTGACAGTGACTGAAATAATCTCAAACAGTAATTTTAGGGAAGCAGACATCTAAAAATACCTTTTTTTTTCTTTTGAAAATGATGTCTATCTTCTATTAAAATGGGTTGGCTCCAGCAGGAGGAACAAATCAAGTTTTGAATGGAAATTTCAATAATCCCTATTTTTTTCCCCTAACTAACCAAAAGTATTAGTTACTAACTAAGAGATTTTTCTGCCTTTGGCTTGTCCCTGGAAAGCTCTTCCTGGGTGCCGTCTTGCAGGCAGATTCTCTGGCTATTCAGAATTTAAGCACTCAGCTAAATGCCAATGCCAGTCCCACTGTTCAACGATCAGAAGTTTCTAAAAGACTTCCTCTGTGGCCAGCTTTACACCCTTGATGGAAGAGTTATTTCAGGATTCAAAAGCAGTCGGGAATAACCTAAGGTCACCTTCTTCCCGCTGCCACAAACGGGTCCCCCCACCCCCAGCAGCACTTGTGTTACTAAAGGATAGTGACTGACGCCCAATTTTAACACCACTCTCATTCTGCTCCCAGGGGTTCCCCACTCAACACCCCGAGAGTCTTGTCAGTGGGCCTGGACAGAACATGCCTGTCTTTAGGACTATTCCTCACCAGTGCTCTCAACTCTCCATCCCACAAGCGAGTACACAGCTCAGAAGATATTTTCCTAGCAGGTCTGAAAGGAAGGCTCAAGAATGGTGGTGAATGGAAATATCAAAACAAAACACAAGTGGTCAATCATGACCCCCATCCAAAACGCCCTCCTGTCCTGTGAGACACTTCTAGACAGCTGTCAAAGCCAATTACCTACTGAAACCTATTTTAGAGAAGCTATGTCAAGACCAGACTTCTCCACTTAAAATTTTTACATAGCCTGTACCCCCCACCCCCCACTTCACAGTTTATTTCATGAAACAGCTACGATAATCGAACACACAACAGTGAAAGGAGACGCTGACAGAGCAGTGTAGATCTGGTTTTTTTTTTTTTTTTATCACAACTACAGATGACAGGAGAGCAAAGGGCACAGGACTGGCACCAAGCAAACCTACTCACACAACCTAAGAAGTCAGGGCAGGGGTCTACTAGCTGCAGTTATATACTTATATTCTCACACATGAAAGATATGCAATATAGTGAACTTTAATGTCCTGGGTGAATTTCATTAAAAATATTTCTTCACGGTTTAAATTTTTTTAAAAAGAAAATAAGATGCTTTATGTTTTCTCTTCCTTTTGAACAAAGAGCTTTTTGACTCTGATGATGTGGAAAGACAGAGGACGAAAAGGGAGAACTAGGCAGGTGTACTTCAGAGAGGGAGTTCTGAGGTTTCAGTAATGTGTAGGGGTTAGGACCCCAAACCGGGGACAGCCCTGCCCCAGCCTCATCCTGCTGCCTGAGTTCATTTGTCTCGATCCCAGAGACAGACTTTGGGGAATAAATACAAGTCCTACTTTCAATTTTTATCTAAAGCACAGATGCTTCTCTAACCACCACTGTTCTTTCCTTTGAGAAGTGATGGGAGCTAACCTCAACAGGAGTTTAGGGAGGAGGGATCTGGGGCAAGACGTGGGCCCTGCTGAGGGTGTAAGAGCCTTAACTGAGAGAAAGGCCAGGAGATGTCTTTGTTTGCTAAAGATGCTGAGTTGGCAAAGCAGACAGGTAAACAAACACATGGTCTGAGGACAAAGGGCAGCTGTGAAAAAACTAGCCAAACAGCACTTCCTGTTGGCAGTTTGTGAGCTGGGGAAATGGTAGGGCAGGGTAGCACCAACAGATTCCCAGCCCTTGGGCCCCAGCTCAGGGCAGCAGTAACAGAAAATCAGCAGTTCTGAGGAGTCATCTTAGATCGGACATTGCTCCAAATACCATGTTTCTCCAGTCTTGTGGAAGGGTTCTGGCTTGCCACCGGGCTAAGTTACTAGGCATGTGCTCTCTGAAATAGAAGGCACAGCAATTTGCAGGGAGGTGGAGAGGGCTCCTCCCTTCAGACAGGGCAAGAGACGAGACCGGGGGTAGAATTCCCACTGGGCCGGACAGTCTTGAACGTGCTTTGTCTTGCTAAGCGCACACCAGAAATCCCCTACGTCCACTGCCCTAGACTGAAATCTGAAAGCACCTGAGTGTTTGAGGAAATGAGGAGGGTGGGTTCCTGTAAAAGGATTATTGGTCGAGAAGAAAGGTAAGCTCGCCAACTGCCCTTGTCCACTTCTGGGACAGTTCATTCTCAGAGAGCAGGACCTAACCAGATGCTCCCCAAGGACAAATCTACAGCCTGTCACACAGACAGAGACTGCAGCAGCTGCCTCAGCTCACCTTGGCCTTGACGTAGCACCCTTCCATTTACAGAGAAGGGCTTTGTAGGCACACACATGCACATACATGCATTTTCCAACCAGGAGACGTATGTTTAGTACAGCCACATTCTGGGCCACACACACACACACACACACACACACACACACACACACACCCCAAAAAAAAAAAACCAAAACAGCAACAATAAAACCACTTGAAAACAGAACTGGAAACTCATGGCCTAACAGTACTTTTTGTTGTTTCCTGGTCAGAGGTCCTTGAAATCTGCCTGGGGACCCAAGCAGGCAAATTAGGCTCACTAGGGTCAGGCCTTATGTAATTCTGTCTCACAATAATCACTAGCTCCTGACCTAGCACACATCAATACTCAAGAAACTGCCAGTGACCTGAATTAACATCGGATCCCCCTGAAGTTTTATCAGGAGATCTCAGTGGGGCACTGCTGGGCCAGGGAAATAGCCCTGAAAGCCCCTGTACTTTCCAACTTGACCAGTGGAATTGAATTCCATGCTTGATTCCAGAGAGGACTTTTTATTTGAAGTTGACCATATGTAAAAGTTAGGACAAAGAGACTCAAGTCTGTACGTCTCCTTGAACGGGGCCCGACGGATTTCCATACACGGTTCACACAACCACAAGTCCCCATGGGCTAATATCACAAGAGTTCTGAGTGTTGGGATATAAGGAAAGAACAGTGGAAGTGTTGGGAATACGTTTTTTAAGAAGGAAAAAAAAGAAATAAAGATTTCCCTCCCCAAAGGGTACCCTGGGGACAGCTTGTCTGGTTATGTGACATTTACTGTATTATTTCTGTTCTGACTCTGCAAATTTGCGACTAGAAGGAGCCTGGTTAAGAGCTTGAATTGTATTTTGCTCTGGTTTGGGGTCTTGCCCTCTTCCAAGGGACCAGCAAGTTTGTGACAATGTCTGTGTGCCCCCAGCAGACCAGCAAGCCTGTGCTAGTGTTTGTCCAGCCACTATGGGCCAAAGCCCTGCCCCTGGTGAGGCTTTTCCCAGGCCCCAGGGACTCTGGTCTGTGGTTGCCAACTTCTTCTCTTCACTGGGGAGGGAAGCTGGGATCTTCCCAAGAGACCTGAAGGCCTGCCCACTCTTGGCAGTAAGTCCTCTTGATAGCTGCTTCACCGGTTTAACCAGCCCTGGTGCTGGGCTGGGAGGTCCTGGGGTCTGCTCAGCTCCCACAGGAGCTCTTCCTGAGGCTTGAGTTGTTGATTCATATAAAAAAGCCTTGGCAGAAGGTGGAGAAAGAAGTCTGGCCTGGGTGAATGATTTAACAGCTTGCCAAGGATGTTCTGAAGGAGCTGCTGCTTTTCCTGCTGGCTGGAGGGAATCTGACATGCTGCTTTTCTCCACAGCTCGTGGCATAGGCCCCAGACCCTTGCTAGATGGCCATGAGCTTGACTCCAGCACTGGCATCTTCTCATCAGCCTGTGGTGCGACTTCATGAGGAGAAGAAGCCCGCTCCTTCTGGCGAGGAGTTAGGTCTATGAGATCCATCAAAGCAGCTCTGTGCTTTTTCTGAGTGTTCTGGTCCACAGGCCTCAGCGCTTTTTCTTTAGCTACCAGAGACTGGACCACAGCTGACAGTACTTTCTCAGGAGGTGGAAGTCTCTGGGTCAAAGAGGCATGGGATTTGTCTGGGGGCCTGTCAGAAATCTGAGGTTTGGGACTGTTGGTGGTCAGCAGCCTGTCTGATGTTGAAAGTCGCAAGCCAGTGGGGACCGGGGTTTTCTCTACTGACTGGGACTTTGGGCCGGCAGCACCTATAGATTTATCCAGCCTTGAGTCTGTCACTCCCAGAGGTCTTTCCAGAGGCAGGGGCCTGACTGAGGGTGAGGAGCTTGGTCTGGTAACTGGAGAGGCTCTGTCAGATGGCTGAGATCTTGGTCCTTCTTTAGTAGGTGGCCTGTCCTGTGGTCTCTGACTGGATACCAAGGACTGGGATTTGGTCCCTGGTCCAGCAAGGTCTCTGACCCTATCTGAAAGGTGGGAACTAGAGTCAGTTCTTTCAGGGGGTCTTTTAGGTAGCAGTGGCCTCTGACACGTCCCTGTCAGGTTCTTTTTGGAAAGTGGCAGCGTCTGGGTGGCATCAGTAGGTGGTTGATTAGACATCTTGGGCCCCTGAGTAGCCATCTTGGATGACTGCTCTGTCAGCTGAGGGCTGGGGCTTGGAGGCAGCGGCACTGAGGGAGGCACATACTCACGGATCTCCCCTGGTTCCAGAGGGTTGGGGCCGCAGGGGTCATGTTCAGTACAAGACAGACGTCCATCGAGCTTGGAGATGAAAAGCATCCCTTCTCGGTGCTGCTTGCAGAAAGAGCTGGGGCACATCTCACAAAAGGAGGCTGCTTCCTTCCCACACACGTCACACTGATGCCATGGACACTCCCACTTCCCTGGAAACAAGAGGGAACAAAAACTTAGGGAAAATCGATGAATGTGACGTGAGCCACGGCTCTGAGACTGGTCCACAGGAGTGGTTGCAAAGCCTCCTTCAAACTGCCACATTCTTCAGAGTTTGTGCCACTCACCTGCCATTACTCCTGCCCCAGAATTTCAGCTTCCTCTTCTGCACAAAACAATATATAAAATAACAGCAAAGAATCAAGGTTGAGTAACTAATATCGACTAAACACAAGCAAGAGACTATTTCTACCAAGAAGAGCTGTACAGTAGAAACCAACCAAATAAACCCCAAGCTTCCTCTTAGATGAAACAATTATTAATACTTCACTTTTTCTGTCTGTCCTGAAGAGTGCTTATTTAGCTGTCTGTCTTGTGTTATGTGAGACAGGCTTCACTATGGAGCCCAGGGTGGTCTGAACGTAACAGTTCTAAGTGTATCACCATACCCAGTTCTAACAGCTGTTAAACATTTAACTCAGAGAGAACATTCCAGCTTTAACATTCTTGCTTACTTTGTTTTCAACAGAAGTAGGATAAATACATCAGTTACAAAAATAATAAGGGAAGCCGACTCACCTTTGCTGAATTTTAAGTCTTGAAACCAGCACAAATGTTTATCTGGATTGTCCATGTAGAATGAGGGGAAATGACCTAAAACTAACCTAAACTTGTACCCACTTCCCCATGAATAATAGCATGTAAGAGTTGCCATTTCCAAATAAATCAGGTCAGGCTACATGTCACTGACAGAACACAAGCAAGATCCTGCCAGTCATATAATGTGCCACGAGACAGCACTAAGTAAACAATTCTGAAAACAAACAAACAAACAAACAAACAAAAAAAAAA